ACACACTCTCCCCCCCCTCTTCCTCACTTTCGCTCCCCCTCTCTCCCTCTCTCTCTCTCTCTCTAACATACACACATCCATCTTATTGGGTACGGGACCATAATCCATCTATTTCACACGCACACGCGCTAGTGCATAACAATATGGATTATGTGTATTATATTTGCCACCACAACTGAGGGAGTTAATTTCATGTAAATCGGCTAGCCACAGCTCCATGACAAACAATACATCTAAATTCTCAGCGTTATTTTTATGTAACATTGGCGAGAGGTAAACGACGGTGATTGTTTCCTTTGTTTGGAGATTGATTACCATCCGTGAGTTAAGCTGGGTACTAAAGAAGAATTTGATTGTGATACGTGAATTGATTGTTGCCTTATATGTTTGGTTTTGGTATTTGAAGATTGATTACCATCCGTTAGTTGGGTTACCAAAGAAGAAATCAATCACCATATGTACAAAAAGGAACTACATTGCACATGCTTACACCTCATCTACTCATGAGAATATATAGAATTGGAGCAAACAAAATAAGTGCAGACGAGAGATAAAACATCAATGAGGATCCCAAATGTCTTGACTAATATGTTGTCCTCCAGCTTGAGAAGCACCTACAAGGAAGGGCTAACATACAGAATCACGAGCCACTCCAATTTATGACTCACACAACTTCATCTTCAACTTGTTAATGATGCGTGAACCTCAACATACCATGTGGTACTGTTGGAGGCCATGATGACCTGGTGCACCTGTGACTCACCAATGTTCCATCATGCGCAACGCCTCCTGGAACGCCTTTGGCATCGCATGACAGAAGGTAGGAACGCGTTAAGAGCAACTGAGGCAAAACAACAAACAAGTGGCACCCCTCTTGTAAATATGTAACATTAATATCTTTTGTTAATTAAATGCAGTAGAAGCCTCTCCTGTCGTTTCCTCCTAAAAAACAAAAGAATGGCGCAATTGAATGGTGGTATCACAGAATCCAACTCTTCACGTCAGCGAACTCCTTAATCTGCCTGGCCCTATTATTATTTAAAGGTTTGTGCAACCAGGACCGGTTACTCCTATAATTTTGCTGTCGAGACACGACTTATGTGATGCAATAAAGCACATGAAAGAGGTGACGCCGCTGACGAGATCTTGGCGATTACATGTAACATAATCAAGCGGTGCTAGCTCAACTTTAGTGCCAATCAGCATAGCCTATTTAGGCTATATATTACTGTTAAATACCGTAGCATTGCAGAGCTTATTGCATCCTTGTACACACGATCAATATCTAGTTATCTACGGACAAGAAAACATATGTATCTAGACCAGCGGGAACAAAGACAAAAGCCATGTTAAACTTGTCACCTGGCGCACGTGCACTTGCATTCCAGCTCCTAGGCATGCACAAAGAAAAAACCGAAGCACACTGATGAAGTAACTCAGAAACTATGTTCTTGTCTCAAATACAAATAAAACCAACGGCCAAAGATGAACTGGTTAAGCATTCCCAAAAATCACATGTTCAGAACTCCTCAGAACATAACTCCAACTATCAATCTCATAAATTTGAAGTTAATATCTGTCAATCGTAAAAATAACATGCATCGGGTTGTCAATTGATTTTCGGATGCATCCACTATCAATCTCACGAAATGCAAGTATATATCTTGCCAAAAGCATGCGTTTCATAATGTTAGCAAATAAAGTTTTCAGAACACTGTATATACCACCACAAAATCATAAGAGAATGAGCGTATACAATCTACAAGGTAATGTAGCAATTTAGAGGTTGGGTACTTACTTCAGTAATAAAACAGGTTCAAGGTAGTAACAAGGATTCTTCTAATGCATTAATAAACAAATGTTCTGCACTGAAGACAAGATAAACATTTCCCAAAGTGCATCAGAGCATCACAGAACATTACTGGCAAGATAAATGCACGACGATACACCCGACTCATTTAATTAATATAATTAAATAATCAGCAAATTAGTCACCAAACTGCTCAGATGAACCGGAACAGAGCCAACATATATCATCCTAGACAAACGCAGTATCAACCATTTACCTTGGTACTTTAGGGACCGACAGGAGGATGCATGTAGAAGCGCTTCTTGCCCGCGAATCCACAGTCAGATAGAGAAATTGGAACCCATTCCCATCACCAACTGATAAAGAAAGCACATAAAAAAATTGATATCGGGCCAACTTGGATCTTCGGTGATTGTCCCCCGGTATGGAGAATTTAGGAGAGTGGGTGCAGGGAGTGGCCTTGTGGATGATGAATGGAGGCGCGGAGGGATGTGGTCGCCGGAAGGTCGAAAGCGGAGAGGGTCGGGCACGAGCCGGTGGTGCGCGACAACCGGAGGTGGCCCAATCGTGGGCGCGAACCGCCGATAGCCTCGACCCATCTCTCAACGCGGCGAAGATAGAGAGGGCGGCACTGCCAGTGCTCGAGACCGCCGCTCGGCACCATCTACATCGAGGGGAAAGAGAGGCGAGAAAGCGATAGGGTGATGCGGGGCTAGGGATTGCAGAGGAGGGTGGGGGTGTGCGATTTGAATGGATGGTTCTGCCCACCGTTTTCTTGTACGTGGCGGTGGAGACGGCGGTGTCCAGCCATGCAGGCGAGGCATGGGTCGAGACGGGCACACGGCGAGGCGCAGTAGAAGAGGCGGGGGCGATTTTTTGCTACTGAGATGCAGGGTGTGGGATTGATCGTTCATGTTCTCTTTTCCTTTTTAACGGGAGATGGATGCGATTTTTTCACGAGGGGAGAGATGCGACCACGTACAAATTCCATAATAAATTAATTAGGTCCATAACGGGATTTGTTTGCAATGCGTTAAGATTTACGTGTTCTTAATAAAGAAATGCACTGATGTAGGGATCGATTGATTCGGCTAAGGAAAGATAGATTCGTGATTTTTTGTATGTTAGGAAATTACTGGTTTGCAAGGAAAGAGTGGAGAGAAAAAGAACCAATGCGACGACGTACAGATTCCACAATAAATTTATTAGGTCCATAACGGGATTTGTTTACAATGCGTTAAGATTTACGTGTTAGTTTTCATAATAAAGAAATGCACTGATGTAGGGAGCGATTGATTCGGGTAAGGAAAGATAGATTCGTGATCTTTTGTATGTTAGGAAATTACTGGTTTGCAAGGAAAGAGTGGAGAGAAAAAGAACCAGTACGAAGGGGTGGTGGGAGGTGGGACGAAGAAAAACCGGATGAAATTGGGAGGTGGGAGGGGGTGAGTAAAAAACCGACGAAAAAAAACCAACAAAATTGGGAGGTGGGAGGGAGGACGAAAAAAACAGTGAAAAAACCGTGAAGACTATTCACCAACTGCTCCATTAGGAGTAGAGATTGCATGTGATCTCTCATCCACCCATGCTACTTAGAGCATCTCGAGCCGTTGGCCCCCCAGGGGG